GCCATGTACCCTAGAGCCCCCAAGATAGGGTAGATTGAGCAGCCTGCCACTTTCTAAACAAAATTCCCAGCAAGAGGACTGGGGCTTTCGTCCCCACTCCAGCAGAGTAGGGGCAGGCCATTGCTGCTGTGACCTCCGGGCCTCGCTGGACCAAGGCCCTGGTCCTCCTGGGTCTCCGCATCTCATTGGTCTGCCTTCCGGCTAACAGGAGCCCCAGTCCTTTGGCGGCTGCAGCCACCCCAAGCCTCAAGGTCACAGCCGGCCTGTGGGCCACCAAAGGGAGGCAAGGAGCCTTCCGGTCCTTGAGTGAATATACAGGATGCTCCCAAACAGGAGAAAAGCTGTGCCCTGGAGAGGAGCCACCTCCCCATTGTAACCGTGGGAAGGAGCGACGGAGCCGGCCGTCAGGGGTCAGAGAAAGTGGAAGGGAGAGACAGCATGGCGGGTGCCCGTTTACTGTTGCTCAGATGTAACTGGGTTAGTGCCTGAGGGGCACCGGGCTTGTCTCTTAAAGTGACAGAGGCAGCAGTGAGCGGATGAGAAGCCAAGGTGGGGAGAACGGGGCTTTGGCCTCAGGCAGACCTGGGCTGGCCTGCAAGCTCCATACTCATGTGCCCTGTGACCTTGGGCAAGACACTTGGCCTTTCTGAACCTGTCTCCTTATATCTAAAGTGGAGGAAATAGGAGATGAGCCAAAGCCAAGTTCAAGTGTCCGGCATAGTGCCCGACGGGGAGACAGAACTCCGGGTACAGAAAGGAAACAGCACAAGGTTGCTTCTACTGCAGCAGAGCCAGTGGGACCTAAGTTATATTCTCCACCTGCACCAATTAACCAAGCATGCCTCTTTGTGGCTTACCAGGTGGCTTGTCCCCATCACCATTTGCCAAACACGCAATCTGTGCCTCCCTGCCTGGTAGAGCCGCTCAGAAAACATGTGTGTTCAATAATTTGATGCATTGAGAAAGTCTTGCGTTGAAGGAACGCGACGGGACTCCTTCTGTAACCTTTAAATGCCCGTGTTTGCTGCCATTACCCAGACCCTCCTCCCTACTCTCATTTCTCTGTTGGCTAAATCAGAATGTTCTAGCATGAGCTGGGGCTGATAACCTCCCCTGGAAGAAAGGGGGCATAGCCCTCACGTCCTGGGAAAGTGGCCTCCCGTTCTTTCCACCTGACCTTCGAGGTTGGGAAGTGCAGGTGTCAAGCTGTCAGGTTTTCTCTAACGGAGGGCGGAGGGCCGGAGTAGGGGGGGCGCCACCCGGGAGAGGGATGCAGTTACTCCCCACCCCACCGTGCACTCCACACCCGAATGGCCTTCAGGGAGGCCCGAAGAGTTGGGAGACGCAGGTTCTGGCCCGGCTCTGCAGTAAGCAGCTTATGCCAGGGCAAGAGACCCGGAGCCTCTAGGCACCCTGGCATACTCACCTGCAAAATGGGGGTAGGAGGACCCAGTGCGTGAGCATATTTTCCGCCGCATAGTAGGTGCTCCTCAACTGTGGGCTCTTTCTCCACAGCAATAAAAGCAGGCCTTGCACGCGGGTGCTTCTGTGTCCTGGCCACGCCTGTGTGAAATTGCTCTGGAGCCCCCAGGTGAGCTAAGCACTTGGAGCAGGGCCTGGTGTGCCATAAACACTATTAGCACTCGCTGCCCCTCTTATTATTAATATTCATCCTGCCAGGAAGCCCGGGTCCACACTGAACGTCCGCCCTTGTCCCCTTATCCCCTCCTGGGTGGGTAGGGAGTGGGTGCTCTGGGGAGGGAGCCATGAGGAGAAAACCCTGTGGACGCGGGAAGTGCTTCCCTGCGGTGGCCTCATGTGCAAACAGGGGGCTTTCACGGTAGTCCCAGCAAACCTGACCCTGACCAGCCTAGGAAGGCAGCCGAAACCCAGCAGTGCTCACTGCAGAACGGGGAGGCCTTGCAGTCTGAGGAGAGCAAATTCCGGAAACCCAGTAAAATCCTAATTGCGAGCACTGGCTTCTGCCACCTCTTTTGTTCTGAAGCTTGGAACACCCTCCTGCCTGGCCCTGGCCACCCCCCCGGAGCCCCCAGCTCTGGCAGATCCAGTCCAGGACCTACTCGTACCCAGGGACTCCAGGGTGGACATTGTTACAGCGTATCTGGATGTTAATAAGAAAGGACACGTATGCAGTTTGCCTCTTAGAGAAGCTGGACCTGACCTTAAAGTCTGCAGCCTCTGTTGGCCTGAGGCCTCCTCTACCTCCTCACTCAGGGAGCCTCCCCGAGCTGGCTCCCCTCCCAGAGATGAGGCGTCACACCCTGTGCTGGGGCCGTGGGTCTCCCAGGCCCCTCTGACTGCAAGCTCCTCCGGGGTTGGCCTCACGGCTCCCATGCCAGCTGCTCATAGGTGCAAGCGACTCTGGGAAGTCAGGCTGCTTTTCTGGCTCTCAGACACCACCCCCAGGGCCACAAGCCCGGGGCAAGGTCAGCCGGACAGCCCTCAGGGCCTGGACACCAACTGCTGAGGGCACCTCCTACCCCGTCTAAGAGCTCATCTTGGAGGCCAGAGCCCTTTGGAGTGGGCCCACCTGGCCCAGGCTGCACGTTATGCCCCTGTACTGCCTGGGTCTGCCCCTTGCCCGCCGGTGAAGTACAGCTTTGAGGAAACCAGGGAGGGCTCACCCCTGCCACACGTGAGCCACAGAAAGAAAGTACAGGGCCGAGATTTGAAGGACCGGTGAGTCAGGCCACATTCTTGGGCAGGAAGACAAAACCAACACTGTAAGGATGTTAGGCTTCTCCACACTCTTAGAGCTTTCATGCAAGTACAATTCAACTCCCAAAGGGAAGCCACAAAGTGATTTTTAAAATTCATCTGGACTAGTACAGGGCAAGATTGTCAATAAATACACTGAAAGCGAAGAGCGATGAGGAAAGGCTCTAATCCCACCTGTTCAGTCCTAATGTGGAATAAGGAAATCCAAACAGCACGGTGCTTATGTGAAAGGAAGGTGGTGTAGCTCATCGGAAAATTTAAGAAGCCCCCCCCCTCCCCCGCATCTCTTGCAGTAATTCACTGTGTGACAAAGGCAGTGCCTCACAGGAATGAGGGGAGGGGGGGAGTAGCTAGTTTGTGTCCAGCTACGTAGAGGAGACCCACTGGGGTTTCCTATCTGCTGGGGAAGGTGGACAACTACGGGGGCGGGGCGGGGGAGTCAGATCACAACAAATGGAATCCAAGGCATGTCAGTTCTTTGAAAGGATAACTGCCTAAGCTTTGAAGTGACAATCAATCAATCAGTAAATAACCAAAGATCAACAAATTCAACTTAAAAAACTAAAAACTTCTGTTCACAGAAGAAAAAAAACCCTCAAAAGTCAAAAACAGACTTTAGACAATTACGGTAACAGATACACGTCTTCTAATGGGCATGGGAAATATTGAATATTTAACCTCAATTGTTATTTAAGAAATGCAGGTTTTGACAAGGAGGGGACAATCTGCACTTACAAAATTAGTAAAAATAAAGAGTAATGATAGCGGGGGTGGGGCAGGGACGGACCACTGCAACTCTGTAGATGGCTAAAAACGTGACGCCACCCTTTGGGGATATCATTTGCAAAATATTTGGAGAACCCTAAAGAGTCTTATCCTCTGACCCAGTAACGCCACTTTGGGGAAATTTGTCCTAAAGGAAGAGTCTCCAAATGGTTGTCCAGCTGGTTCCACTGAGCTTGTCCAGGGCCTCTGGGGAGCCCACTGGGGACTCTGGGCCCCCCCCTTGTCCTACCCCCAGCAGTTCCTTTTTGTCTGTTTATACCCATAATGTGTGAGCGTGAGCAGTAAGATTCCATTTAGCCAAAGATTTCCGGGGCTATAAAAAACGCTTTGAGGGCTTCCCTGGTGGCGCAGTGGTTGAGAGTCCGCCTGCCGATGCAGGGGACACGGGTTCGTGCCCCGGTCCGGGAAGATCCCACATGCTGCAGAGCGGCTGGGCCCGTGAGCCATGGCCGCTGAGCCTGCGCGTCTGGATCCTGTGCTCCGCAACGGGAGCGGCCACAACAGTGAGAGGCCCGCGTAGCGCAAAAAAAAAAAAAAAAAAAATACGCTTTGAAATCCATTCGTCTAAAAGAGCACAGAGGGCTGTCTGGAAAGATGTTCGTTGGGTACAGCCTAAATGTCTCCCCCGTGAGGGAGACGTTGAATAAATGAGAGTGTATCTGTTGGATGAAAGAGTACAAACACATCAGTTGCGGAGATGCACAACTTGGAAACACGGTTATGATAAAATATTTGGGGACCAACACATACGCCCTGATTAAAACTAAAATGACAGCTGTGCGGGGGCCGAGCCTGGAGTGCACAGGGGACAGTGAGATCGGGGGCGTGGTTAGGGTAAAGGTCTGTGAGCAGCTAGAAATCTCTGTTCTAATTGTTGTGGTAGTAAGGCCGCAAATGACATTTCTTGAGGTTAAAAAAAATAAAAGTTGGCAGACACCCTTCTGTTCAGGCAAGTGTCCGCCGTTACACGCAGGACGCCCTTGAGTCAGTACAGACCATGGCCCATCCAAACGGTTCGTTCCTGGGTGAACCCTTTGAAATCGCCATTTTTATGGTTCAAAAATGGCTGAGGGCTTCCCTGGTGGCGCAGTGGTTGAGAGTCCGCCTGCCGATGCAGGGGACACGGGTTCGTGCCCCGGTCTGGGAAGATCCCACATGCCGCTGAGCGGCTGGGCCCGTGAGCCATGGCCTCTGAGCCTGCGCGTCCGGAGCCTGTGCTCCGCAACGGGAGAGGCCACAACAGTGAGAGGCCCGCGTACCGCAAAAAAAAAAAATGGCTGAACATCGGTAACTTCATACAGTTCATGGTTCGAGCGATTCTTTTGACTCTTAGCCCCAAGTGCAGGAAGAACTTGAACTTACGTTGTGCCCAGCCCAATGGAGATGCATGCCTCCTTCCAAGGAACGTGCCGAAACTCAAGGACAGATAGGAGGGCAGAGGGGTAGTCTCTCTGACTGTCTGTCTGTCTCTGCAGGCCCTGATCCTCCACCAGCTGGGCCGCTACAGTCTGGCCGAGAAGATCCTCCGGGACGCAGTGCAGGTGAACTCCACGGCCCACGAGGTCTGGAACGGACTGGGTGAGGTCCTGCAAGCTCAGGGCAACGACGCGGCGGCCACTGAGTGCTTCCTGACGGCCTTGGAGCTGGAGGCCAGCAGCCCCGCGGTGCCCTTCACCATCATCCCCCGCGTGCTCTGAGCAGCGCCCCAGCCTCACTGCTGCCCAGGCCAAGGGGGCCCCGCCTGGGCGCTGAGGGTCGAGTGTGCGCACGAAGGCCCTGGATGAATGTGCGACTGACCACAGTGGACTAAACAAACCAACCCCTGGTCATCGCTCTCTACGTGCATTTCTGTTGTCGTTTCCGCCAGCCCAATGATAGTTTCTGAATCTACTGACATTGTTCAAAATGGATCATGTGCCATATTTTGTTAGCTGACATCTAAGTTTTAAGTAAAATGATCATGGAGTTAATCTGCAAATGTAGAAAAATATATTCAAAGTTAAAATTCAGTGGCAGAACAGATTATTTTTATCAGAGCTCTAAAGAAAACTGTTCTCTCCCCACCATCACCACTCCTGCCCTACCCTTGGCCCAGAAACCAAATGTGAATTTTCTGTTTTCCGCCTCAGTACTCGTCCAAGCCAGGACACCAGCCGACAATTTCTTGGTTTTGTTGTCAGTAATTGTACCATGTGATAAATTACTGCCCTCACTTAGAACAAAGCCTGAGTCCAAGAATATTTATATTTTACCAATATAGGCCTGTTACAAGAGAAGGAAATATGAGTTATTTAAGTTTAACTTTTTTATGTGAATTCAGAGTTTATTTATCGATGGAAATATGTACAAAGAAGCTTCAAATGGAATATTTACCGACATTCCTTATACATGACAGACACTTGGCTAAATGGAAAGATGAAGTTAATAATAAAATGATTTTTAAATGGACCCATGGCTTGTGTTGTTCGTGAAAGCCCACAGACCCGAGAGAGGTTAAGACTCAGTTCCTGGGGTGGGGAGCTTTCGGCGCCTGGGGGCCCGCCCTGGACAGGTCAGCCCTTGGAACTAGGAGGTCCAGCCCTGATTTTAGTGTGGGAATTCACCTTTCCCAGCTCTCCGCATGTTGCCTGGGATTGGAGCCTGTGACTGAGGCTTGGCCAGTTAACATCTAGCATCCACTTCTACGGAGGATGGGGAATGAGCATGTGACCTGAAATGGTCCAATGAGAGTGGGAGCTGCAAGCAAAGGGTCTCACTCTCCTGAGGGACTTAAACCTGAGAGGTGAGGCTGGAACTGTAGTAGCCATCCTGCCACAGTGAGGAGAGGGCATGTAGAGGCTTGGGGGCCAGATGTGAAGTCAGAGACTCAGCCCAACAGAGTGAATAGTAAAGATCAAGAACCAGAGAGAACTTGAGCAGGCCTCTCTAATCCCCCAGAGCTGCTTGGCTGAGCAGCTGTGGGGTGACCCCACCCTGCCAGGACCCAGGGAAGTGTGGAGAGCCTGAGCTCTGATCGTAGCACCCTAAGTCTCAATCCCCCTCCCCCTAAGCTAGGCACAACCTCCCTGACTCACTAGGCAGGCAGGTGAGGGGGCAGCTGACGTCTGGAGAGAGACTGAAGGTAAGAGCTCACCGTAGGCAGAGCAGGTAGGCATCCCAACTTTAGCACTGGCCCTGCCAGGCAGCACCTGGAGCTGCGGGTGGTCATAAGTCATGGAATTTGCAACGTGAGACACTGGCAGGAAAGGACAGGTGCTCAGAGGGGCAGCAGCTAGCCCTGGCTGGAGGGTCAGGGCCAGCCTGCCGTCCTGCGCAGCACTGCGGGAAGAGACCCTCCCAGGTCAGGACCGGGAAGGCAGGAGGCCAGGGCCACCCAAGGATAATAGTCTAGGTATCATACCAGCCACTCTCTCCCAGGCTGGCTGTGTGCCAGGGCCTTTCCTTGGAAAGTCCTGCGCACGTCAGCCTGCGCAGGGTCGCTGGTGATGGCTGCTGTCTGCCTGTCCACCATCTGTCCCCTCCGTAGTGTCCCATCTCCCTTGGGAGAACTCAGTCTCCACCCGTATGGCTCAAGGATGAACACATGGGCCCGGCCTTTTCGTCCAGAACTCTACAGCCCCCAAGCTTAGTGACTGGTTCAGGTTTAGACATGTGGCCCAAACTTGGCCAATGGGAGGCCCCTCTAGCACTTGTGTTATGGAAATATTAGAAAAAATCTCTTTCTACTGGGTTTGACATCCTGATAGGACGCCAGCCTGGGGATGCGGGTGGCCATTTGGCACCATGTGGGATGGCCTGCCTGAGAATGATGCCAACTCAGGAAAAGAGTGAGGAGGTAGAAAGACTGGGTCCCAGGGTCATGGCTGGAACACGAAAGCTCCAGCTCCGCACCCCCCCAGTTGGAAGGGAATGGGAGGGCAGGTGGGCCAGGAAGGGGAGGACGAAGAAGTGAGGGGAGAGGGGATGCCCTTCTTTAAAGGGAGCCAGCCCTCCTCCCCACCACCAGCAGCGGGGAAGCATCTTGGGGACAGGGCCAGGTTGGGGCCTGGGCCAGGTCCCAGGTTCACTCTCAGGACCAGGGAGGGCTGTGAGCTCAGGATCTCCCCAGGTGGGAACCAAGGCCTCCTTCCCCTGGACCCCTTACCTGCTCATGGCCCAAGAGAGGGCCTGTGCGTGTCCCTGTCTGTGACCGCATGGAACAGCCCCCAGAGTCCTCCGGATGGTCACTCCGAGCTCCTCTGTGGTCACATGACCATCCTTGGATCCCATCTGCCCCCCAGAAGTCCTGCCCTTAGCCAGGCACCCATCTCACACACTCTGGAGATCTTCGCACTCCACCCTGTCTGCTCTGGGCACGTCGGGCAGCCTCTCACTCCCACCTCAGCCGTGGCCCCAGCCCAGCGGCCCTTCCTCAGCTCCCCCGGCATCACCGGCGTGGGGTAAGATGGCAGGCTCGGCTGAAGGCTTGGGGGCAGCAGAGGGGGTTCTGAGGCAGAGCCAGCCACTCCGTGCCCTGCCGTGTCCCTCTTCCACGCCCTCCTGGCCTCTCCCACAGGGAGCCTCTGGCTGCACAGTGCCTCCTCCTTCACCTCCACCTAACTCCTTCCTGCCCTCTCCCCCTCCCCCCACCCCCTCTACCTCTCATGTCCAACTGGGGGGCACCAAGTGAGTTGTAGAATTGGCAGTAGCCCGCTCAGTCCTCCTCTGGTTCCTCTCCCTCCCGCCTGCTCTGGAAGCATCCACAGAGGGGACCACAAGCTCCTGAGGCCGTGCTCAAGTCCTGTCCAGGGGCAGACGGGCAGTGGGCAGACCGTGCCAGGCTGTGAGGACCCCAGCCCCCTTCCCCCCCAACACACACACACAAGCGGATGGCTGGTCCCCAGGAGACTGACCCTCAGAACTGCCACCAGCCTTCCTCCCACTCGAGGTCAGCTCATTTCCTGCTGCCTCCTCCCACTCCACGGCCAGATGGGACCAGGAAAAGGACATCCTGCAAATGTCTCAGGCAGGCAGGGGCTCCTCCAGAAGGTCTTTGGGGGCTAGGCCGAGACCCCCACCCCCGCCCTGCCCCGCCAAGGCCATACCCTGGGGGACCCATTCCAGCTCTGTGCCTGCCGGGGGGTGACCCTGAATCACTGTCCCTCTCTGGGGACAGGCCCCCCTGCCAGCCTGCCCTCCCAGCTGAGACATGAGTCAGCAGGCAGCTGTAGCGGGTGTGCGGTGCCAGGAAGGGGCCACCACCCCATGGGGCCACCGCGAGGGGCCTGGGAGCCAGGCTGCTGCTGGACTCCTCCTGGATGCTCAGGCCCAGAGTGACGCTGGCTACGGGGGGTGGCAGGCAGGTCGTGGGGTGCCTTCTGCCCGTCCGCCTGGAGCAGCAGCTCCAGCTGGGCCACCCAGAGCCTCCAGGGCCCTCCCTGCCTCCCCCGTCTTCTACTGGTTGACCCCTGGCCCCCTGAGGACAATAGGCTTTCCTGGTGACCACTGGGCTGTGGGTCACACAGATCTGGCTGGAATCCCAGCTCTGCCCGGTCACGTCACCGCCAGTGGAGAAGGGCCTCCAGCTCCTGTCTCAACGTAGGGGTGACATTTCCCCTCACACCGCCGTTGGGCCTGTTAATACAGCCTCGATGAAGCACGGGACCTGGGCCCCGGGTGCGCTGCAGGGACGCCCCTCTTTCTCCCCTGCCTGGAGTGAGGCGAGTTCCTGGGGAGACAGGCCGCTCCCTCCTCCCTCTTCCCACACAGAACTATTTGCAACCACATGGCGATTCCCACCGCGCTTCATTCGCTCTCTGCCTGGAGGAGGAGATGAGACGCCTGGGCCGGGGACCTCCTGCCCACCGCGCCTGGACAGCAGGGGTGCAGCTGGTGGCCTCCCTCACCTTTGCCTCCTCGGCCCCCGGGTCCAGGAGAGGAGGAGAGCCAGCCCTGCCCACACGCGCCATGAAGCTCATGGCTGCAGCTGCCTGAAGCAGGGCCTGTGTCCAAGGGCTCGGGCCGTGGGGCCGGCCAGCCGGGCTTTGAATCTGGGCCTGGATGCTCATTCTCTGAGGAACCTTGTGGTGGGGGGGACGGGGGAGCCGTCACTAGTCCTGAGTCTCAGCTTCCTCATCTGTCAAATGGGCAGAACAAGATCACTGCAAAGATTCAGAGTGTGTGTAACATAAGCACAGCGCTCAACAGGTACATGTGCTCCATTGATGGCACCCGTGTTAACATGACTTTCACCACCACTGTGCTTATCGTTACTCTCCGGTGAGAGCCAAGCCTGGCCCTCCCATGCAGCACCCCCAAGGCCATGGTGGGAAGGAGGGGATTCCAGCCTGAGCTTCAGCCCCAGCCCCCCGCCCCACTGCCCCTCAGCAGCACCCGGGAAGGTACAGCTGCCGGGAAGGCGGACCCTCCCCCGGATCCCCCTTTGTTAGCTACCAGGTTCTGAGCACCTCCTGTGGCCTTAGGTGGTCACAGTCTAGGTGGGGACTGGAGAGACAGCAAACAGAGCAGTAAATAAATAATTACTGGATAGATGGCAGTGCTGGGAGCAAGTTTTAAGTAATGGGTGGATGGCTACTTTAGATGTGGTGGCCAGGGGACACTTCTGTGAGGCAGTGACACTGAGTGATGGGAAGGCCCCCCACCATGGAGAGAGGTAGGAGTCTGGGGTTCTCTGCCTAAAAGAGGATCATGTACAGGCTTCCTGAGGGAAAACCATGGCCAAGAAGCCTGTGGTTCTGCCACTTTTTACTCTAGATGCCTGGGCCCGGCAGTGTGCAAAAAGGGGCCCATCCTCTAATTGTCAGCAAGGAACTGACAATCTGACCATGTGAAGATGAAAAAGCATTCTCTAAACTGAAAAGATGTGGCCCATTTTAAATCCTCTCAAGGTTTGTTTTTTTTTTTAACATGGTTGGTCAAAGGTTACTAAATTAGTTTTTACAAATATTTTCATTTAGCCAATCGTGGTCTTAAAAACAATAATATTCATTAAGCAATCAGATGGAACTCAAAACCCACACAACTTTTCAGTACAGTATTTTGAATCTTCTGGCTTTCAACTTCATGAAGAATTTTTACAAACTTCATTTTCTCGTATTTAACATCTTGAACCTGGGCAGCTCCTGTCTGCCCTGGCAGATGCACGTGGCTCTCTGTGGAAATGAAGTTGCTTCACCCATAACTCTGCCTTTTTAAAAATAACAAGCAGCCTTCTCTCTCTCTCTCTCTCTCTCTCTCTCTCTCTGTGTGTGTGTGTGTGTGTGATTATAAAATACATGCTCACTGTGTTAGTTTCCTATTGCTGCCGTAGTCAATGGCCACTTAGTGGCTTAACACACGTTTATTCTCTTAGAATTTTGAAGTCAGACGTCTGCAGTGGATCTTAAGGGGCAAAAGTCAAAGTGTTGGCAGGGATGTGTTCCTTCTGGGGGCTTGAGGGGAGAATCCGT